CATATTATAGCCAAGGTCCAGTGTTGCCCAAGCACTACTGAGACCCACCACTGCCACAATGGGGAGCCAGTGAATCCTGAAGCCACTGGAAATTAGCCGAACACTGCAGTCCTGTCCGGTAGTCCTGCTGTCCAGTCCCATTCTGAAAAGTAGGCTAGTGTGAGGAGGGAGGGGCAAGCTGTAAAAACAGAAGTGAAACCTTTTAAACAGACTACCCCACAAATCTCTGGATCTTTTTCTGTGTACCCTGAGGTTAATCTTATTATTCCTTCCCTGGAGGAGAACACTTATAATGGCAGCAGGCCATAAAGAGACCCAGTTTCAATTTTAATGAAGTTCCTCTACCTACAGGTAAGGCAGGCACTTGTGCAAATCTTGTAGAAAACCATGATTTAACTCGAGTCTTACTGGCTGGTGACTTAAATTGATTTGATTTAAATCAAATCCATCCTGGGGCAAGATGGCTGTAGCAAATGCAGGACCATTCTAGAGGAAAACAACCTTTTCATTTTCAATATACTTGGGACTGGTGTGGAGATTCACCATCCAGCAAGGCAATGACCCTAAGCACATACCTAACGTAACACTGGGGTGGCTTCAGAACAAGAATGGCCCAGTCAATGCCCAGACCTCAGTCTGCTCAACAACCTGCAGCAACGGTCTATCAATGGCTCCTATCCAACCTGACAAAGCTGGAGCAGTTTTTCCAGGAAGAACTGGCAAACTTGTAAGATCCAGATGTGCGAAGCTGATAGAGATTTATCATAGCTCTAATTGTTGCCGCAGGCGATTCTACTAAGTATTGACTCAGGGGGTGAATACTTACTACACAACCAACCAGTGCCATTTTGTTTTTGCTTACTTAACTCTTCATACCTTTGCAGTGTTGTCTATCTGGTGTACATTAAGTGGTAACAATGCCAAGCGGGTCCAATTCAGTTCTAGGATGTGACACAACAAAATGTAGGAAAGTCAAAGGGGCTGGATACTTCTGCAAGAAGCTGTAGGCACAACTGCAACATTGGTTCACATTTAACAGAACTCATTAGCACTGTTATTAGTCACGAACAGTTGCTTTCCCAAATCCTCTCTGACTGATGTCTGCTCCATCTGCCTCATTTCTTCACCACACTGTTCTCTTCCCCGAGCTTCCTTCTCAGCTACACCACTTCATTCTGCTACTGGCTGCCACCACCACAGCCTCCTCCTCCTCCTCCCCCCCCCAAAGCCTTTTATTCCTTTTCCTGCCACCAACAGTCCTTTCAAACTAGCATGCCACTCCAACCCACATACCTCAAAGCTTCCAAGGACAGGTATTACAGCTCACCTTCACTCCTACTCCTCAGGACCAAGCAGAGCCTTTTCTGATTTTGTAGCTGTCCTTTTAGCTAAATTTCCAACTCCTCCACCAAGGAAATCGTCTGTTTCCTGCCCCTAATCTTTTCTCATTTTCTAGAGGAACATCCCAGTCCCACCCAGAATGAAGTAACTGCATCCCTTCCACATTTGCATCACATGCAGCACACATGGACTGTTTCAGCATCATTTCGTAGTGAACTAAGCAGGCCATTGTGCAAGATTTTCTCACGTACAAGTATTTAATTTCTGTACTGAACAGAAATAAAAGGGGTTGAACCAAAGGTCCATTGGTCAAATATAGCCTACATAGGTGCCAATTGCCCCTTATGGCCCCTCCCCTTTCTCCCAGATGCTATTAAGTCTTTTTCTCATTCCAAAAGGCTTAAAATCTCTCCAAAGGCTTAGTTACTAGTAGTAAGAGCTTTAAGGTACAATATGCCGGTATTTTTGTTATTTTCACCAGACTCACTGCCAGATTTAGCCCTCAGGCATAGCAACCAACTCCTAAACCTCTCTGTACAAAACTTTAATTTCACTGTTTCTGAAAATGGCCAGGTGAATCTCTGTTGCGTCTCTCTGATAACAGTAATAATGCCTGCAGAAAGAAAACAGCTCCATGAGGAAGGAGGGAGAGAGGGAGGAAGGAGCAATACCACACAAGGGCAAATAAGAGGGAAAGAAAGCATGACGAAGAAAGGGCTTATTTCAATGTTTGGATTTGCCAGTGCAATTACAATATAGATAAAAGTAAACACGGAAGTACAGAACAGAACACAGAGCACACACTACCCAAATCACCTGCAGCACTGAGCAACCTTAAAACGAGAACACAGTGAACCTGAAGATGGCTATTTCTGCTCTGAAAGTTACTACAAATTAAGATGTCAGACCCTTCATCAGACACACCATGCCACAATGCTAGGAAGTGTGTTTTCGGATATACATTCAAATTTATTGCCATGAGTCATTCCATTAGGGCCAAGGAAAATTATCCATGCATATATCCACGCACAGGCTTTTCGAATGCAAAGTGTACACCTGCCTTATAGCAGAAAGCTTTCAAGTCAGATTAACTACACTTGGTGAAACCCAGTATGTTGAAAGCTTATGCTCTCCAAGTTGCTGCCAACTGAGCAGTAAAACCTCCAGAAGATAGAGTTTAAAAATAAACACAGTATTTTAACTTTGGTTATATAAACTAGTGCCAATTTTAATCAAAAGAGCAAAATGCAAAGGCAATAATTGAACTGCACAACTAAAGCTCCCTCCTCCACAATGTGTAGCTAAGGAGACAGAGAGGGGATAGTTACTGGAGGGGAGGGGAAGAGAAAGCCTTCTTGTATTGCGAGGCTGCAGGCCTGCATCACCACAAATCCCCCAGGACCAGAGGTGTCGTGCTGCTGTCTTCTGAGACTTCAAATGAGGAGTAGGAAGAAGACCTATAAAAGCCCAGTTCCTGCAATAAGAATGTAGGACCAAAGTCTACTGTCCAGAATCCCATTTCTACAAGTGCCAGACAGGTGCCCCTGGAAAGCCTTGCTAATAAGCAACTGATTAACAAAGTTTTGAAGGATACTGGACCTACTGAACATTCATCTTCCCTGGTTAGAACAGCTTGACTTAAACTTGAAGGGTGTGTGGACAGAAACTAGGAACACAGGATAAATAGGGCAAGAAGGAAAATAAAGAGAGACAAAGGCAGGATTATTTCAAGGCAGGAGACGGAATGATTAAAAGATCCAGCTGGACCTTATAAGTGTTTAGGGGCTGTGATATTCACATCTCTGAAACAGGGCACATGATATTTAAAGAGCACAGCTCCTGAGTTGGTGTAAAAAAATGTAGCCTTCTCCAACCTTGTCCTCTCCAGATGTGTTTGACTGGAACTCCCAGCATGCCTAGCTCATGCGGGGAACTGCAGTACAACACATCTGGAGGACACCAGGCTGTTCTGGGGGTCAGTTTTGCTGGCAATCACCCACCCCCACATACCCCCACATGCAACAGTATTACGTTTTTAGCATTCTCCAGGAACCCCACTTGGGGAATGGAGTCCTCATGCCTGGGGTTCTACACAAATCAGCACAAACTCTGGCATAGATTTGGAGGGGACCAGATTTGGGGAGGGAACAGGTGTGTGTCTGGGGGGGGGGTCACAGCAGTGCTCTCTTAATGGCCAGTTTTGTTATCTTGGGCTCCTTTAACTTGTAACTTATTTAATCCCAGCTTTTAGTGCTCATTTTTATTTTCTTGTCCCTACAAAAAACATGCACCATGTGATAGTCAAAATTTTCAAAATGCCAGCAAACGCCAGAAGTAACAACTCTGTTCTTTCTTCTCAGTTGTGTCACACCACCAAAAAAGCCCATGAGCTAATCACAGAAAATACTAACACAAGCTGCAGCAATTAAGATGCTTCTGCAATAGGGTGACCTGAGCCAGCCCTTTTGCAGTAACACAGCACTTGGCAGATTTGTCCCTTCTTCTTCGGCCAGGGTGACTTTAACCATTGCACAACATTCAGACAGACATTCAACAAGTGCAGTTTTCCCCCTCACTCCATGTCTGCTGTGATGAGCTGCAACCTACTGCATTTTGTTTCTCGAGCAGTTGCAGCCTCAGAGAGAGAAGGGAAAACAAAGGTAGCAAATATTTCATTGAAGTTTCTGAGAGCCCGCCTTTTCCCACAAAATCCCTTGTACATCCGAACTTTCAAAATAATGGCCTGATTCAGAGAAACACTTGTTTTGATTTTGATGGTTTTATTTCCATTTAAGGGATCTGGAACCCAGCACCCTTGAACACAAAGCAATCACAGAGGCAAACAAATGAAGACAACAGTTGCAAACACAGCCGACACTTGCTAAAGAGCACACACAACTGTAACCAAACCACTAAATTCTAATGCATTTAATTACAAAGTGTATCTATATATATCGTATGTGGAATAAGATAAAAATATACAATGCCCCTCTTAACGTGTTCAGGAATCAAGGACTTGTTCCTCTCAGTTTGCTTTCCTTGTTATTTCATTTCTTTAAAAAAACATACATGTAACCTACTCAGGAATCTAGAACTTGGTGCCTTTCAGTTCCAGCATTGCATGCGTGCATTTTAATCGGGCGGGGAGGGGTGTTGGGGGGTTATTGTGCTTCAACCTTTGGAACTTGATTCCATGGATGATGCAAATTTAAACACTGTAATGAAAGGCACAGAAGACTTTTGTATGCAAATTAGCGTCCCCTGGCTTATTTATAGTAGTTGCGCGCTCTTCAGCATTTGCCCGTTGGTTGCTCACAAAGCGCAGCACGACAGACAGACGAACGGATGGCCACCCCACCATCCTTAAACACCTGTTCCCGCGGCCGGACGCTGCGCCCAGCCGCGGTCGGTCGAAGGGACCCATTCCCCGAAGCGCTTCGCAGCCGCGCCTCCCCCGAAGCGCATCTGCTGTTTCCAGAATCCTCCCTGCTAGCAAAACATCCGGATTCTCCCGGCGAAGATTCTGCCCGGGAAGGGGGGAGGGGAAGAAGCGAGGACTTTCGGCGCCCGCCAGGTTCGCAATGGCTCCCGAGCGCACACAGGTGAGTCTCCCACCCGGCTGCAGCCTCGGCCGCTCGGAAGCGCGGCGGCGAACTCACCTGGCCGGGCAGAGGGAGCCCCGTCGCTCTTCTTACCGGCCGCTGCTTCTGCCTCCGCCATGTCGCTTCGGTGAGCTCAGCCGCCCCGCCCAGCCCAGCGGCGCCTCCGTCCCACCCCCGCCCCCCCGGGAACAGAACGTGGCCCGGGCAGGTGAGAGCGAGCAGCCAGCGAGCGAGCGAGCGCGCGCGCGCCACCACACCAGGCGAGCTGCCCGCCTGCTCGGCGGCGGCGGCGGCGGCGGCGGGGACGGAGCGGCTCGGCTTTATCGCCCAACGCGCCACCTAGTGGGCAGGTCGGAAAAGCGCGAGGCGGAAGGCCAGTCGTTCATTTGGGCCGGAGGGGTCGGCTGGCGCAGGGGGCGCATGGCGGGAAACGCGCTGCCGCCTGGCTGGTGGGTTCCCTTCCTGGGCCTTGCCAGCCAGAGGGACCATTACTGGGGACGGCCGCACTGGTTAAAGTTCTGCTTGAGATGCAGCCTGTGGGCTTCAGCTACCAAAACAAGTGCCCACAACAAAATTAAAAGGCAACATTAAAAAATCGCCCAGAATCTTTATATTGCAATGAAGTCTGGACTTACAGAGGGTTCCTTTAGGTGGCCACGAGCTTTCCCTTGTGGGATGTTTCCCACTCCACAGCTGCCACTGCAAGTTTTCAACTTCTTCACAAGTGTGAGCAACTTGTGGCCCTCCAGAGTTTTGGTCTAGAGCTTCCAAGAGTCCTAGGTAGCAGAACCGATCATCTGAAATCATAGGAGTTGTAGGCTAAAATGTTTGGAGGGCCACACATTGCCCAGCTCTCTGGTGAAACTGTTTCTGCAATGAAATCGGGGCACCATCAGGTCTAGAAGAATGATGCTGAGTTTATTTCTGCTTCCCTCATTACCTGCCTTTCTCTGGATGGACACTGAGGGAGTGGACTGCCTACAGGGCCATGGACTTTGATTCAAGGTAGCTGCATCACTGAAGGCTACGAAAAAGGAAAAGGGGGTGAATCAAAACAATTTCTCATCCAATTACTTCTGCACATTGCTTCCTTTGACTCTTGCTTTGTTGGCATGATCACACCTTTTGGCACCTCGTGTTTGCATCTTTAGTCCCTGTGGAATCCTGCAGCTTCTCTTTCCAATTATATAAGAGCATCAAGGAGAGGGCTGGAGTGATTGCTTCACATGAGAAAATAAGCTTGCACCAAAAACAAAGGCTCTGGATTAGTGACTGCAGATCAAAATATAAACTCGCAGGCTAAAGTTTGAAAGCCGCAAAACTGTGAGTCAACAAAGCTGAACTGTGCACCCACAAGCGATCAAAGTTCAGTAACGAACAGCACTATATGGTGTTGCACTTCCTTCCAAGATCAGGTTCACAGTTTGGCAGTGCTCTGAGATCCCCTACTATTGCCAGAGTCCCAGGTGATTCTGGCAGGTTGGAATGATTTTTAGCATTGCTACACCCACTCCTGGGCAGGTATAGCTTGGCCACAGTAACACAGGTGCTGATAAGCTTAAAACTGGAGTATTGCAATGCACTATAGGTGGGGCTGCCTTTAAGTCTAGTTCAGAAGCTGGAGCTTCTTGCAGAATGTAGCACCTTTTCTTCTCAGGAGCTGCATCTTTCCAGCATGCAATTCTCTTACTGAGGAATCTGTACTCGCTGCCTATTTGCTACCAGGACATATTTAATGTGTTAATGCTTATAAAGCTCCAAACAACTTGGGGCCAAGAAAATGGAAAGAATGCCTTCTTCCTTGCTAACCTGCCTTAAGTTACTGAGGGAATTACAGGACATTCTCCCCCTGGGTCCTCAAAGTCAGCCCGGTCTTCAGTGTGGTGGCCCCATTTCTCTGGAGCTTCTAGCCTCAGGAAGTCAGGCAGGCACCAACACTGGGTTTTTAAAGTGCATCCTGAAAGTATCTTTATTTCAAGAAGGATTTTCTGGCTGAACAGTCACTGTTTATGTTTATCTTCTGTTTTAATACTGTGTTTATTTGCTTTTACATTTTATTTTTTATTGTTCATCACAAGAGAATCTGCTTAGAGGGGACATATAAATGCTATACATACATACATATGGTGCCAAAACTGAGAAAATAGCTTATGAATGATGGCTGGGGGAAAGGGTTTGTGACCAGAGAATTCCAAAATGCTGGTTTGAAACCCCAGGTGGACTGGATTTGGCCCTTGGGTTAGGCTGCACTTCCCTGTTTTAAATCTAAAGTCTAGGCTGGGGGACAGGTTTGAATGTAGGCTGTTGAAACACAAGGTATCATGTTGTCTGAGCCCATCTAAGATAACAGAAGATGGTGAACAGCCAACAGTTCACAATCCAGCAACCATAGGTTCTCTTCATGGGTTGTGGTTGACAAGCCATGGCTTGTTAGCAGACCTGGATTCAGTAAACATGATACTCCATATCTCTATGACAAGCCGTTATTCAGCAAGAGCCCACATTCAACCTATACTAAACTGTTGATTATGGGTCATCTCTCCCCCAGAATTTGGCCAGAGAATAAAAAAGAGGGTGGAGGAAGAGTATGGTGACCTCCTTTAGTCATGGCCATACCCACTGCAAACTTTTGCTCAACCCACTGCTGACTTAACAGTTCCTGCTAGATCATCCACAAGGGAATATGACCCTTGACATTAAAACAGTGGTCTAGTCCTGATTATATCCATGTTTTTAACCTGTATTTTCAATGCAAGGCCCTTTAGTTCTTCCTCCTGTTTTTCCTAAGTCAAAAACTTTCAATTATAATTTCAAAACCTTTATGTCAATAAATTGTGCATTCATAGAATCATAGATTGGTAGAAGGGGCCAAGAAGGCCACTGGGTCCACCCCACTGCAGGTGCAGGATGCCAGTTACACCATCCCACTCAGATAACTGCCTAGCTTCTTCTTGAATGTCCATACGGTGAAAAAGCCCTCAACCTCTCTTGGCTGCTGGTTCCACTGTCCTACTGCCCTTACAGCTTGGAAATTCTTCCTTGTGATTAGTCTGCACCTGGTGTACTGTACTTTAAGTTCATTATTCCATATCCTACAATCCAGGATGAATGAGAATAGCTATTTTCCTTCTTGTGACAGCCTTTGAGGTACCTGTAGAGTGCTATCATGTCACCTCATAGTCTTCTTTTCTCAAGGCTGAATAAGCCCAGTTTGGTTTTTTTTTTTTTTTGCTTCTCATCATAAGCCTTATTTCCCAGGCTCTGTAACATCTTGATTGCCCTCCTTTGAGCGCTCTCCAGATTATCAGCATCCTTTTGAGAACTGGATGCCCCAAACGGAATGCTTTATGTAAAGTCTGACTAACGTGGAGCAGAGGAGAATGAGTACTTCTCTTTTTCTGGATGTGACATTCCTATTTATGCATCACAAAACAGTGTTTGCCCTTTTGGCATCTGCATTGCACTGCTGTTGCATTTAGCTTGTTGTCTACAACAAGTTCAAAGTCCTTTTCACTGTCATTACTGTTGAACCAAGTATTCCCCATCTTATATCAATGCAGCTGATTTTTTTTTCTTTTTGCCTAGGTGGAGAACTTGACATTTGTCCCTGTTGAATTCCATTCTGTTGTTTTCCTTCCAGCGTTCAAGCTTGTCTAACTCCCCTTGGATCTTCTTTTTGTCTTCCAGGGTGTTAGCTATTCCACGCAGCTTAGCATCATCTGCGAATGTAATTATCATTCTTCTTTATTTCATAAATGTATATCACAATGGATAGCTTTAGAACAAGCTAACAGTACTCTATTTAGTTCAGGCATATGTAACTGGTACAGTTCAGTAGTACATAAACAACACTAAAAAAAACAAACAAACAAAACGACAAACCCAAATGTACAGTAGACCAGGATTTAAGTTACTAAAACAAACAAACAAAACAGTATGAACAGAGATGACTGTAAGTACCAGCTGTGACGTTCAGCAGACTATTAGGAGGTACTGCCAGATAAGCTCTACATCATATGTTTGGTAATGAATTCCTCCTCTCAGCATGAAAACACACAAAGGTCTTCCGGATTTGGATGGAAACATCCACAGGTCCTTGCCTGCCCCACAGTGAACCTGCCCTTCCACTCAACTTCCCGCACAGCCATCCACAAGAAAGTTCTGGATTGCATCTCAAGCTACTCTGAGATGAACTGTAAAGTCCACACACAGGTGAAGAGGCTAGCTCCCAGAAATGCCCCTGCCCCATCACAGGCTCTGTGTGTGACACATACTCACCCAAACAGTTAATATTTCACATTTTGGTTTTGTTTCACTGATGTAGAATCACATGAAATTTTACAATGAGTCCGTGTAATATCAACATGGGGTTTTGTTAAATATCTTAGATGTTCCAGCACTTTAAAAAAGAAGATTGTGTGTGTGTGTGCATGTATAAAAACATCTAAACTACAATAATATTTAATGTTGTAGACAGATTTCTCAGGGACATTAGGAGTAGGTGCAGCCAGAAAGCTGCGACGTTCTTAACAATGGTAAACAAATACTGGTTTAAAGTGCAACAATATCTCTTTGACAGAAATCCTGCATTATGTTGCAGAGAAGTTCTCTTTTTCTGTGGAGATAGAGGAATTCCTTTAGTCAAGGATCAGGTGTGCTTCTCTCGAAAGTCAGTGATGGCTTTCCATAGGGTACATAAAATTCCACCTCTGTAAAGAAAATCACAGCAGACTTTACTCACAAAATTCTTCCCACTGTTAAAACATCTTCATTCAGATAATCCAACCTTGCCCAACTGGGTGCCCTCCAGGTGGTCTGGACTACAACACCCACCATCCCTACTTGGCCAGGCTGTCTGGGGCTGATGGGAGCTATAGTCCAAAAAATCAACAGATTGCCAAGTTCATTGAGAGTAGATCTCATAACCCATGGAACATTTATTTTAGCTCATACTAATTCCTGTATAACTACAAAATCCCAACAGAGATCTTTGTAAGGGATAATTAACATTTTATCCTGTGCCATCACTGGGTTCCTGGTGGCCTTTCATATATGGGACAGATCAAGTCCACAATTCAGTAATGCTGCAGCCTCTGATACCATTGGGCCATTCAGTAGGTTCAGATGTGAACACGCAGTTATACCAACAGAATTAGCACATT